TTATATAAAATCTTATTTTCAGATAGATATTTATAAAGTCTGTTGTACATAATGCGTTCAATTAGTTTAGAAAAGCAGGGTAAGACTGAGATTGGTCTGTAGTTTGAAATATTGGTCTCATCGCCAGATTTGAAAATAGGTGTTATTTTTGCAATTTTTACTTTATCTGGAATATGACCTGATTTAAGGGAGAGATTAAAAATATGGAATAATGAGGGTTCGATAATATCAAAAACAGATTTAATTACATTAACATTAATTTGATCTATACCTGCACTTTTATTTTTTTTCAGACTATTAAAAGCAGTATGTAGTTCACTTTTGGTTAAAATCGGTTCTTCCATAATTAAATCAGTTGTTGCAAGATATGAATCAAATTTTTTTTGACCAATTGGAATTTTCGCTGCTAGGTTTGGGCCAACATCAAGAAAAAAATTGTTTAATATCTCAATAATAACTTCTTTATGATAAACCATTTTTCCCTCAATAATAAGTTTTTGCGGTAAGTTATTTTTTTCAATTTTATTTTTCCCAATTAAGTCTCTAATAACACTCTACGTTTTTTGAGGGTTTCCTTTGTTTTTTTCGAGCAGTTTAGCATAGTAATTTACTTTTGATTGTTTTTTGGTTTTTTCAAATAAATTTTTATAATTTTTGTAGTTAGTTTCATTTTTATAAGTTTTATTTTTTAAATATTTATCATACAACTTTTGTTTTTTCCTTGATGATTTATATATATATATATATATATATATATATATATATATATATATATATATATATATATATATATATATATATATATATATATATATATATATATATATATATATATATATATTTCCTTGATGATTTATATATATATATATATATATATATATATATATATATATATATATATATATATATATATATATATATATAAATTTAATTCGTTAATTCGACGTTATTTCTTTAGAATAAATTTAACTTTCTAAAAAAAATTTTTTTTCCGAAATAAATTAAACTTTTCGAAATTAATTAAGTTTATCAAATATCTTTTGTTTTTTTTCAAAACTTATTGCACACTTCGAAATTATTTTTTTTCTTTCGAAATTAATTTAACTTTTCAATATCTTGAATCATCTTCGCATCTTGAATCAAATAACTTACTTTCTGATCATCAATATGGATTTCGGTCTTCTCGTTCATCAGCTGATGTGCTAACAGTAATAACCGATAGGTTTTACCGTGCATTAGATAGAGGTGGAGAGGTTAAGGCTATCACACTTGACATTTCTAAAGCTTTTGATAAAGTTTGGCATGCTGGTCTTCTCCATAAGCTTTCTTCTTATGGTGTAGCTGGTAACGTCTTTAAGATTATTGAGTCCTTTCTTTCCAATCGTAGTATAAAAGTTGTCCTCGATGGACAACACTCTTCTTCACATCCTGTAACTTCAGGGGTTCCTCAAGGTTCAATCCTTGGCCCTATACTCTTTTTAATTTACATTAACGATCTTCCAGATATTCTCACATCTAAGGTGGCATTATTCGCTGACGACGCTACCATTTACTCTTGTCATGATAAGAAGCCTACACTCTCTGATTGCTTGGAGGGGGTATCTGAGCTTGAAAAGGATCTCACTTCTGCTACAGCATGGGGCTCACAGTGGCTGGTGAACTTTAATTCAGATAAAACTCAATTTTACTCGGCCAATCGTTATCGTAATAATTTAGATCTTCCTATATTTATGAATGGTAATGTACTAGATGAGTCATCTACCATTCATCTTCTAGGATTAACTCTTACTTCTGATCTTTCTTTTAAACCGTATATCAAATCCATTGCAAAATTAGCATCTGCTAAGGTTGCATCTCTTTATCGAGCTCGACACTTTCTTACTCCAGATTCTATTCTCTATCTCTATAAATCTCAAATCCGTCCCTGTATGGAATACTGTTGCCACATCTGGGGCGGATCTTCTAATGATGCTCTTTCTCTTTTAGACAAGGTGCAAAAACGAATTGTAAACATAGTTGGACCTGCTCTGGCAGCCAATCTCCAACCTTTGTCACATCGTCGTAATGTTGCTTCTCTTTCTCTTTTCTACAAATACTATAATGGGCACTGCTCTAAAGAGCTAGCGTCCCTTGTGCCATCTACTAAAATTCATTCTCGTGTTACTCGCCATTCAATTAAGTCTCATCCTTTTTCTGTGACTGTTCCTAAGTGCTTCAAAACCTCTTATTCTTCTAGTTTTTTTCCTCGAACATCAGTTCTTTGGAATTCGCTTCCTTCACCTTGCTTTCCTGATTCATATAATTTGCAATCTTTTAAGTCATCAGTCAATCGTTATCTTGCTCTACAGATTTAGTCTTTTCTCTTCCAGTAACTTCCAACTCTTATAGTGGTTGCTTGCAGCCTTGTTGGAAGTGAAGATGTTAAAAAAAAAAAAAAAAAAAAAAAAAAAAATATGCACTTTTTTTTTCGAAGTTAATTTTACTTTTCGAAATTCTTTTTTTCTTCCGAAATTAATTTTACTTTTCGAAACTCTTTTTTTTTTCTCGAAATTAATTTCACTTTTCGAAATACACTTATTTTTTTCGAAATTAATTTTGCTCTTCAAAATTCTTTTTTTCTTTTCGAAATAATTTTCCCTTTACGAAATCCACCTTTTTATTTCGAAATTATCTTCACATTTCGAAATTCTTTTTTTCCTTTCGAAATAAATTTCCTATTTCGAAATCCACCTTTTTATTTAATTAATATTGCTAGTTCGATTATTTTTGAAAGCTTTTTTAGATTTCGAAAAAAAAGAAGTATTTCGATAACGTTTTAATCGAAAACTTTCGAAAATTGCAATTTCGATAATGAACCCTAATTTAGATTAAATAAAATTTTAATTAAAAAAATGAAAAAAAATGATAGGTATAAAGGTTTTCAATATTGTTTCCTATTTATGAAAATTTTGAAACTAAATTGTTCGATAGTAAGATTTGTTTTTTACTTCTTTGTTGTTGTACTTTAAATAACCAATCAAATGTTTCATAATTGAATGTTTTTTGTTGAAATTAAGGTGTGTTAAAAACGATATCAACACATTTATCATGAGTTTTATATTTACTTTCCATATTTAGTGATTGTCCAGTATTAATTAATAGAACTTTTTTAAAACAGAAAAAACTTTGTTTTGAGACTTTAAGAAACAGTAGTTGTGTTATTTTATCTTTTTTTTTTTCAAGGTGGAAAGGGCATACGCATAACCCATAAGTCAATGTAAACATTACTTGTATACGTAAATTCTTGTATAACATAATTTTATATTGTATTCTAATTGAATTCAATTTAGTAAAGAAAAAAATATTTGCAAAAAAAGTTTTTTTTTGATACAAGGATGTATCAAACCACCACCACCACACCCATTCTCATTGTTAACATACGCCTCTCATGTACTTTGGTGGTTTAATATAAATTTATAACAACTTTTTTGCTTATCTTAATTATTTATGTCTTGAAAAAGGAATTTTTCTCAAAAAAGTGCTCAATTTCTTATGGTAAAGGTGGTAGTTTGTGACCCCCTCTATCCCCCTTAATACGGTCGGTCATCATAATTTGTAGCACACCTATCTTTTGATATCAAGATATTTGTTTTTTGATTAGAATTGACAAAGTCATGACTATTTAAGCTAAAAAAAACTTTGACCACTGTTTCTTCAACAAATCCATATATTAAAAAATCGGTACTTAAACCATCATAACATTTGAAGAAATTGTTCGACTTAAAATTGTTACTTAAATCGGTACTTAAGCCATCATAACATTTGAAGAAATTGTTCGAAAATACTGTATTGATCCTCTTTCTAATGATTGATAACAGTATAATATTCAAACAATATAAAACCTTTACCCATGTACCTATGTAAAATAAATATCATAAATAGTAGTGTCTTTACGTTGTTAAATACCAATTCTTAACGAAGCATGTTTAATATATATTTTACAGATCATATATGTACCTTTTTTTTTAATTATTTTCTCATATTGTTTTATACGAAAACAAAAAATAAGTATTGTTAACATGGCTTAATTAACATTACTGATTTGAAAATACTTCAATAATTGTAATTTAAAAGTGAATAAGAAATAATTAATAGTAATAACAGCACTAATAATAATAATAACAATAATAAAAGCAAATATAACTATATATTGATATATATCCTTATAAACTAACTTGATAATTTAGCTTAATGTTAGCGTGAATGGTTAAAGTGCGAGCGATATAGGCTTCAAGTTCGGCAAGTGGCAAGCTTTTCTTTTGATTCATAAGACAACTAAACAGCTCAGCATAGTTTGCGACATTTTCAGTGGTATTTGTAAGCATTTTCCATGGTGTCGTTAGAATTTTCAACGGTATCCGTTTGTTTGTTTTAAAAATAATAATGCTTAAATCACAATTTAATACAATTAGGCTTGTTTACCTGTTCAGCAAACAGTTAAATTTAATGTAATTTATTATAATTAGACTCGTGAAAAGTTTACGCGTGAGTCTAAAACCGATCGTTAAAAAAACCCAACAATAGGGTAAATATATACACACAACAAATACATCATATTTCATTGTGATGCCTAATTAACAGTTTACTGGTTACCGGTTAATTGATAAAACTTGGTCTAATAGCAAACAAAGTTTTATTGTTTGAAGCAAAACACTATGCACGTAGCAAAACCTTTACTAATACCTTTCTATCTCATCAACCTACCTCTCTGCCTCATAGCCTCAATTTAAACTTTTTAAATTAATTAAAATTAGTAATGAATAATAAATTAATACTAAATAATAAATTGATTTTAATTTAAACAAAAAAGTAGGAAAATAACTAAAAAAGAAACATCTTAAAATAAAACTAATTTTCATGGTCAAACTTCTTTTAAATAAATGTTCAACTATGAGAATTAAAATAATCGACAAAGATTAAAATAATCGATCAATTACTAGAAATAAAAAGTAACTGCGCTGTGAAGTTTTAATTTTTTTTTTTTTTTGTAATGATGCGCTTTAATATATATTAAAATCTAAGCTGTAACTTAACTTTGTATGGTTTCTGGAACATCGTAGTAGTTATTTTCATCAAAAGTCTTCAGTGTATTACTTTGCGAATTATCGCATATTTCTGGTTGATCAAGTTTCCCTATTTCAGAAGTATTTTCTAGTTCATTGTACCTCTTTGACTCATCAATATTTTCTGATTCATCATAAATCACAGAATTAACTTTTTCTAACATAAAGTAATTAGGATTATTAACAGATTCTTTTGGATTCAAGTAGTCATTTTGATATACACAAGCTGCATCTTGAGAGTCAACCATTTTATTGCTATTATCAAAATACGACAAACCTGTTTGCAAATGTGATATATCTTCATAAAACGACGGATCTCGTGAATTGCTTTTATTATCATCATCCTCTGTTAATGCAGGCTGCAGCAATTTATAAAAATGACAAAACAACATTATTAATTATATATATATTAGGGTTATGAAATATATGTATATATATATATATATATATATATATATATATATATATATATATATATATACATATATATATATATATATATATATATATATATATATATATATATATATATATATATATATATATATATATATATACATATATATATATATATATATATATATATATATATATATATATATATATATATATATATATATATATATATATAAATATATATATATATATATATATATATATATATATATATATATATATATATATATATATATATATATATATATATATATATATATTAGGGTTATGACTTTTTCAGTTTTTGTAAAATAATTTATTTTACGTGTCAGAAATCGATGAACTATTTCCTCAAAAGTAATGCAAATGAGTCTTATACTGATTAATTTTCAAAAAAGTCACCCACAACATGACTCAAAACTTTAACAACCCACAATACAAAATTTTATAAATGGTATATAAGTAGTATTTTAGAGCTTTCTAAATTTATGGAACTTTTTATAATTTTCTGAATTGTTCAGGATGTTTAAAACTTTCTAGAATTTTCTGAAGTTTTCTAAATGTTTATGGAAATTAGCAAGATTATGACTATATATGCTTCTCATTGAGAAACGCTATTCTGCATTCGCCAGCACATACACGAATCTGTATTGGCCAGATGTCAGTCAATAATAAAGAAATACAATTGCACTTATATTTAATATTATTGTTTTTCAGAAATATATTCAAGTATTATCTTCAATAATAATGTCCTATAAGAAAATTGCTTCCATTACTGAAAGAAACAAAATAATCTGGTTAAAAAATCTCGCACGATTTTATGAGTATGAGTCACATGGAAAAAGAAGAACTGTTCCGCTAGAAAATCAATCACTAGAAACTAACAGAAGGATACCATTTAATATCTAAATTTTTAGACGCTATCTGTTCCTGGAAGAATCCATCAAAAAGCAAATTAAAAATCAAATTAAGAAAAAAGTAACAAGTTTATGGCATAAAAGTAACGGCAACAACAACAACGTCAACTTCCAAATACGAGTCTGAAACAGAATATTAAGAGTCTTAAGATTTAGAAGAACTGTGCTAGCAAGTACTACAAGAACTACAGCAAAATTAAAACTGCAACCAAATTAGTAACATCTTCAAGGTTATCAACCAGCAAAGCAGCAACCAATTATCGACAGTTATCTCAAGATGGAATTGACATTGAGACACTTTCACAGTCTGATATATTCAGGTCAACTATTAAAGAAGCTGTTAAACTTAAAGAAGAAATGAAGAAAATGCTACGTTTAGAAAACTGGTCACTGATCTTTAACAGTAAACGTATTAGTGACCAAGAGTATCAAGTGTTAGGTTTGAAGAATAAACAAAGAGAAGTTATGCTACAAAAACTAGATCTACCAGGCGGAAAAGCAGACACAGTTGTTTGTTGTTTATCAGAGGTATAACAGCTATTTCTGATAAACACAATTTATTGAAGTGTATAAAGATTATTGCAGCGTACACTACAAATGTAAATACTGGAAGAAGGATTGGGATTGTGCGTCAATTACAAATGTTTTACTAAAAAGAAACTGGAAGAACTACAGTTCATTGGTTGTCAGCATCATGTTATTGACGGAATTCTTTGCGTAGCGATGGGTGATTAAACAACATGTCACCCAATATTAAATATCAGGAACTTGAAAAGAACTAGAAACAGCTCAGGAAGAATTTCAAGAATGGTAAAGAAGTGATTTCTGAAACACCAGAATAGTGTGATGATGTGAAAATTCTATTTCAGGTAACTCGGGTTTTCCACTTTTTTTTGAATAACCTGGATTATTTCCTAGGTGAAATTTTAGAAAATAATGCAAGATAGAAATCCGAAGCAATACGAGCTCTTTAAAATTTGTTCTTCTACCAGATAAAAACGACTCACTACTCGACATTTGCAGATACGTCTCTTACAGATAGGCGGACCATTAGTTTACTGATCAAATGTAGATAATTATTGAAAGCTATGAAGCTTACAAGGTCACAAAAGGCGTTGAACCATCGAGACTTGAAATTCCCAGAACAAATCAGTGTGCAGAACAAGAATCACGTGTCTTAAAGATTTTTTGACATCTGTAAAAAGAAAGAGAATCTCTAGGTTATGACCTCCAGCTTAGATTTATTTTTATTAACAAAGCAGTAGAAATATATATTACGCTTTAATTAAGCTGAATACTACACAACATTTTTTGATGAATACAGTAGCATAAAAAAATTTCTTTTTTAATTAAAAAACCATTATTGATATGCACAGTATTAAAAAAAACTAAAATTAAAAAATAATGGTCATAAAAATTTTGAGATTTTAACTATACGTATTTATGGTAAATTCAAATTTTTGGTTTTTAGGTGATCTTTTTTAAAAAGAAATCTGATTTTTTTTTAATTACTTTTGTACAAGTATTCATCGATTTATAACCTCGAAACATGGGGTCACAAAAAGTCACATTTCTAATATTCACGCGCACACACACACACATACACAAATATGTATGTATGCTATTTTTAAATAAAAAAAAAATAATATTGTTAACATTTATTAAAGATTATTATTATAATAATTACACTTTTTAATAGAGCCAAAGGCAATTTTTTTTAGCAATTACAGCATGGTCACTATTTATAAAATGAATTTTTGAACGCGATATTTTAAATTCAGCAATTATTTTTTGAATCATCTAAGTAATTTTTACTGCTTTACGGAAATGGACTCCACAACAAATTAAAGTTTTTGTCTAAACAAAGACCTGTCATACTTATAAAAGTTTCATTTGAAGTGCAAGTCCATTTATCAGTAGTAAATCTTATGAATTTATCTCTGTTAACTAAAGCTGTTACTTTATCCATTACTGTTGAGTGAACTGATACTAATACCTTACCAGCAAAGTATCTGCGACTAGAAAGAACGTATTTTAGTCCTAACTTTTTCATGTCCAACCATTTATGAATTACTTCATGAATGGTTTGAAAATTTGAGATTGAGAAATATCTATATACAAAGTTTTCTTTATACCAAAAGTTTATTGCAATGTTTTCTAAATTAATTGCAGTTCACATTTGTCAGTACATAAATCAAAAATTTCAGCTTTTCAATCGCTTGAAATTGCCTTATTACATAATTTACACTCATATATTGTTTGGTTTTAAAATCTTTACTAAAAATTTCCAATATCTAAATATTTCATTAACGTTACAAATTTTTATATCAACATCTGAGTAAAATATTAACGTTCTTAAAGAACCAAGCAGTAATAATTTAGTAAAAATATACTTATCTAACTAAAACTTCTACTGTCACTTCACCCACAACAGGATCACACACATATACATATTTCAGCTTTTATGTCCGTTTACGCGACAGTTTTTTCTTTTATATATATATAAAAAAAAAAAACAGGGCCGACGACACGGGTTTTGAAGTAGGGGGAGTTTTGAAGTAGGAGGGGGGGTTTGAAGTAGGGTGCAAAATCATCAATTTGTGAAAAAAGTCCTCTATATCCAGATTTTTCTGAAAAAAAAAATATACTTTAAAAAAAAACGTGGGAGGTGGGCACGTGCCACCTTGCTTCCCCCCTCCCCCGGTGTTGTCGGCCTTGATTACAGGTTTTATGTACGTTTTATGCGAGAATTCTTTCGTGCGTAAATAATGCCCAAAAGGAATCATTTTTATAAAAACCACTAATAATATCCATAGGGAAATATACTAATCGTTATTATTGTCTAAATAGAATTACTTGTGCACCAATTTTTACAATTTGTATGTTGCGTATGTTAAATGTGATTAGATTACATTAATGTAGAATATACAAAGCATCGGGTACTTTGGCAAAACTCTAGTTTGTATACAGTTTTTTAACAACATCTAAATTGTGAGTAAAACGTTACAAATGCGTGAGTAAAACGTTATAAATGCGTCGCGTTTGCATAAAAGATTTCACAGAAATTTATTTTTTTTAAAATCATGCCGAAAAAAAAGCAAAGAAATGGGGTTTCAAGAAATATGCAGTCAATCCAAAAAAAAAATTTTTTTTGGAGAGCTATTTATCATAAAAATCTTCATTTTTCAACAAAAAAACCGCCTTCATTTGTTGTCTCTTGTAATTACAAATTACAAATTCTTGTAATTTCTAATTCTATTTTAGTTATTTTTTAGGAATAAAAAAATCTCTTTTGTACGTACTCTGCGATTCCAAATATAAAAAGAAGCTCATTAATTAGCTATATTGCCAAATTGCAGAACAAGATTTTTGCAGAACAATTACACATTTAAATTGTGTCTTAACTAGAATAAATATTTAGACAAGTATAAATTTAGAAACCTTAAAAAAAAAAAACTTAAAAGAGAGCTCAATATAAATGTCTCTTAAGGTTGGTGTAAGTTTGCTTTAAAAATCTCTCAAAACTTTTAAATTAGTAAAAAATAACAAACACTCTCCGGGCAGCTTTTCAACTCTTGTAGCAACATTTAATTATTGTTGTTTTGCCATAAGCGACATCATTGCATCATAAGATTCATCAATTTTTATCTAAAAGTTGTTCTATTGCTTTATTCTATTGCTTTGGAGTGGTTTGGACTCATTGCTTTGGACTTCGGTCTGTATGATATAATATAATATACATAAGATTCATCAATTTTTATCTAAAACTTGTTCTATTGCTTTACTCTATTGCTTCGGAGTGGTTTGGACTTATTGCTTTGGACTTCGGTCTGTATGAAGCTACTGAAGAATGCTTATAAATAAAGCTACTAATAAATATGCAAAAATTTTTAGAAGATTATCTTAGTATTACATCTTTATTCAAAAACTGATATTTAAGAAGTGCAAACTAATCAATTCAGGATTTTTATATCAACAACTAATGAGGTCATCAAATCAAAAATCACTAATCATAGCTAGAACGGCTCATTTGTAGTTTACTCTTAAGAAGCAATTATTTTATATACTTTTTTTTTGTAAAGGTGAAAGTTTTCTTATATATCAGAATCAAATAAGTAAAAACTTAAAATAAACAAAATAACTTTTGGTTCAATAAATTTTATCATATCTTATATACAACTTGATTAATTTCTTATAATTGTATAATTATTTACAATTTGATTAATTTCTTATAATTGTATAACTATTTACAACTTGATTAATTTCTTATAATTGTATAATTATTAACAACTTGATTAATTTCTTATTTACAACTTGATTAATTTCTTATTTACAACTTGATTAATTTCTTATTTACAACTTGATTAATTTCTTATTTACAACTTGGTTAATTTCTTATAATTGTATAATTATTTACAACTTGATTAGTTTCTTATAATTGTATAATTATTGCATTAAAATTTTTGCATTAAAAAAACAAACAAAAAAAAAACAAACATTTTTCCCGTGAAGAATCCTGGTGGGAAATGAGCTAGCGATTAGCGAGCGACTAGCTAGCTTTATAGCAATTTTCAAGTGATTTTTTTTTCTTATTTTATTTTTTCCTGGTGTCTTTAACATCTTTAAAAATTTGATTTTTAGTATTGAGTCTATTATAATTATGAGAATAATTGAACTTTAAACATTGCGATTTTGTAGCAATGTATCGCTAGCTACATATCGTAGCTTTGTAGCTAGCTTCAAAATATCTACAAATCTATAGCTGGTAGTAGCTACATATCAAAATTTTTTAGAAAGCGATTTTATTACAATATGACCCTAGCTACAATAGCTTTAGCTTATTAAGCTAGCTGTCCTCGTAGTCAAATCGCTGTCTTTAACTTCACAAATATCGATAGCTTTTCGCTAACTTAAAAAAGCTAGCGACCCTCGTGGCCAAATCACTGTCTTATCGTTACGATTATAGCTAGCTATTCGCCATCCGATTTCCCTGATTTTGAAAATTAAATCTAATATATAATATATATAAGGCTATCATTTCCCTAAAATGTTGTCACACCATTTAAATATATAAAAATATTATGATTAAAAAATTAATGTTAACCATTAATTTTTCATATTTTATATTATCGTGCAAAATACTTCAATTTTTTTTTTAATTAAAATTCAATGCAAGACATTAGTTATTCTTGCATTCAATGTAATCATTTGTTTATGTTTATTGTTTCATCATATCACGCAATGTTGTAAGCTATCATATATTAAGATTTAAGCTATCTTATATTTACTGCAAACATTTGTAGTAAGCTATCATTTATTCACAACAATCATTTGTTTCAAGCCATCATAAATTAAGAAAATGTTATTCTTATAATTGGCTTTAAGACATTAATATCTACTTACGTCATCATTTTTTATTTCAACTTTTTCTACATTCCATTTATTTTTCTTTCTAAAAATTCAAATAAAAACAAATTATTTTAATCTGCTTTAACCCGTTTTTACAAAATATGCACACTAATTGAAGGGGAGAGCGGAACACCACTAACGTTGGAAGCCGTTGTACATTTTTTTATTTTAACTAACTTTAAACTTTATTATTTTTTTGCTGTTTTTTTTTTTTTTTTTTTTTTTTACTAAAAAAGAAAAAGTTTGACATACATCTAAGAATTTGTTTCGTTGTTAAATAAAAATATTCTTTTCAAAGATTGCGATCATATCTTTACTGCTTATATTTTAGTACATGTTTAAACTGATAATAATTTATGCAAAAAATGATCGCTTTGTTATTTTTAACTTGACAGGTGTGCAGTAACTTGATTGCCATAGGTGTGTAACACGATGAACATATTGATGGTGGAACAGTCAATTAAATATGTATTTAGCAAGCCATATTCAAATGGCTTGCTAAATACATCTTTTCAAAGAACTTCTTTTTTTTTTCAAAAAAAAGAAGTTCTTTGAAAAAAAATCTTTTCAAAGAACTTCTGATATATATATATATATATATATATATATATATATATATATATATATATATATATATATATATATATATATATATATATATATATATATATATATACATACATATACATATATATATATATATATATATATATATATATATATATATATATATATATATATATATATATATATATATATATATATATATATATATATATATATATATATATATATATATATATATATATATATATATATATATATATATATATATATATATATATATATATATATATAAATATTTGTTTTCATTTTATATTTTACTTAAATAGTTGAAATGCTATTTTAAAAGAAAATAGCTTACCTACCAAATGATATATTTCATATTGCATTTATTTTTATAAGTTTTTTTCCATCAATAATCAAAATCTAAGTAAATATATGATGGTGCTCCACCTCTTGCATTCCTCTTCCTCCACTCTTCCCTCTTCCTCCACTCTTCCCTCTTCCTCCACTCTTCTCTATCCAGAAAACAACCTACCTGTACTGACAAACTAAGATTTTCAAAAGTAGTAAGATAATAACAACAAACAAGAAACATCCAATGACAATTCCTACAATAGCGGAAGTACTGATTGCGGAAGTACTGCTAGCGGGAGTATTGATAGCGGAAGTATTCAGAACGGAAGTATTTAGAGCGGAAGTATTAAAAGTGGAAGTACTAATAGGTGAATACGGTGTTGTAGTCTCTAACAGCGTTTTTTCCATATTTGTTGGCTTGAAAATATTTTCAGCTAAATTGAAATTTAGGGAAAAAACTGTTATAAAAAAGATAATAAACTTAATTAACTTATTTTTATCAATTATAAAAGGTTTTTATAACACTTTTTATCTTTTTAACTTGGTTTAATAGTAAAAAATATGTGTGTTTTTCTCACTTTTCGTTTTATATTTTAATTATCATTTTTTTAGATATATTACTAAACATATATTATATTCTACATTCAGGGGTGCACAGAGGGTAGGGGATCTGGGTCGGTTTTCTCCGGGCATCACGTTAAAGAGGCATCATCAGATGACAAAAAAAAATTACCAGTATGCCAAATAAAAATTTGAAAACATCTAATAAAGAAATGAAAATTATTTACATTGTTACCATCATCCATCAGATTACAAAGAGATTTCAAGCTCTGAAACAGCAATGTAGATTGTTTTCCTTCATCTGGTCTACGACATCAATTCGGACTTCACAAACAGTCAAGAATCTAAACGTAAAGATCTCGTACTTCTGTTTCCGAATGATCTTTGTGAAGACGAAGTTTGTTAATGGGTTCTGCTACTTTTCGTCTATTCGACTTCATCTACTGACAAAAGATCGGCCCTTAGATCTTCTAAATAGAATTTATGTGAAGCGAGTTAAAGGAAATTTCTTCTAGATATGCATCTGTCTTCGTATCATTCTTACTTTGCCAGTATCTGTGGCTGAAGGCGGGGAAACCTTTAACAATTTAGCTTTCTTAAAAAATTTTCTAAGAGCTACCATGGGTCAGGATTGTCTTAACGACTGCCTTATCATTTCAGTCAAAACAGATCTTGCGAAAAAAGTTAATTACGATAATGTAACTTCCAACTTTGCCGCTAGAAAAGCTTGTAAAGTCTTGTTATAACGCCATAAAAACTTAATACTAAATCCAGAAATGTTTTTTTCTTTGTTGTGTTAAATTGTTTGATTTGTGAACTGTCTTAAATACAGAATTTTTAAAATATTTATGAATACTAGAAATATTAGTTTTATTTTACTTATTATTTTTATTTTAGTTTGGTGGTTAGGGAGCGGGCATTCAGTAAATTTTTTTATAATATACCCCGGGCTTCATAAAGTTTCTGTGCGCCCCTATCTATAGTATATTTTATTCTTTATTACATTCTGTTCTTTATTATATTCTTTTCTACAATATTATACTATGTTAAACTCTATATTATATTTTCAAAATTTTTTTTTTAATTCAATCTATCATTAATTTAGAGTGTAGATAGTACCGGATCGAGAAAGCGCGGTACCCGAAGCGTATTTATTTTTTGGGGGCCTCAAGTAAAAACCTGAAAAATAATAATGTATGAGAGTAAAATTGTGACTATTTTCAAATATATAGACTCAATAACGTCACTACATTCTATTAAATAAAAAGACGAAAAATTTATATATGTTAAAGAACAAATTTAACTGAAGGGCAATAAATAAGTTTGGAAATGCTGTAGTTTTGTCAATTACACATAAACATTTGAACTTTTTTAATGGGTTTTGTAAATATTCTAATGAAAAAATATATTTTAGAGCTTTCATTTCTTCAAGTTAAGTTTAACCTCCTACACATCTACAATGGTACTGTGATGTTAGAAGTCTGCTTCAAACATCACAGTATCATTTGATGTGTCCGTTTGTGTCTTAGAATCGTTTAGAGCATTTTAAAAATCTGCTGCATGTTTTTATTAGTTTTTCTTTTTAATATTTTGAAATCTTCCTAAAAACCCTAATAAATTAATGAATTTTTAATAGTTCAAAACAATCTTCTAGCGGTTGTTTAGCTTGATCAAAAACTAATGAATAAAGATATGTTTTAAGAAACTTTCCCTTTCATGTTAAAACCATTGTCATAGTCTTGCCCTCAAATGTCATTAAAGTTCAGCGCTAAAGGTTGAACTTCTTCCTTCAAAACAGAATTATTTATTTTTATTTATTCTATATTGAATTAATTATTCTATATTGCTCTCTATTTGTATCTCTATTTGTATCTCTATTTATATTTAATAAACTGTTCATATACATTGACACTTGAATTTGGTAATGTATAATCTGGAACCAGTGCCGTGGCTAGTGCGTTGGAGCCCCCCCCCCCCATATTAGCTACTGGGTATAATCCAAAAAAAAGCACTTTAAGTTTGCAAAGGTCCCTTAAGTTTCTAAATGATCCCCTAAAATTGCTAGGATCCATCCCCAAAAGGGGGTGTGGGGGAGCCTAATCACATTTCTATCTGAAACATATATAAGGCTAAAAGACATTTATTCTTTATGACTTATATCTAAAGTACAGAAAAAAATCACAGCAAAATACTTTTCATATTTTATTTATCATATAAGTTTGTTTTAAATTTTACAACCTATCGCATGATCCTGCAATTATTGGATCAAATTTTCAGAGTAACTCAATAATATCTGAAAAATTTTAACTTCTTGTATTACTTAGTTTTTAAACAGATCCTCGTATTTCTATACTGCGTTCAGCTATAAATTGCTTCAAAGAAATAATGTCTTATTTTTCTTTACAGTATAATTTAGTTCAAGAATCTCTAATTGGGTTACTTGTTTATTGTATTTATCATAAATTTCTTTATCATCTTTGCTATTATTTTCATCTTTGCTATTATTTTCCATCATTCTTTTCATCTGGTTTTTTGTCAGCATTGCCTATTTTTAGATGTTTATTTCAAGCAAGCTTTGATTTTTTTTACTATTAACTTTTATTTTTGCAGTTAAATTTTGTTAAAGTTACTTGTTTTTTTTCCAACATCTTGTTTTGTTCGTTTCCTGCATTTAATGATGTTGGATATGAACAAAAGCATTATTTTTTAAAAATCGTCAAAATCGGGTGTTTTATTTGTCATAAGTTAATTTTCTCTGAACAACTGATTTAAAATCAACTTTTTTAATTATTTTTTCTATATTTCCTGGATTAAAGTTAATTTTACCATCACTAATTAATCCGTCATTAAATTTAGAGAATTTCGGAGATCATTGGCCGGAATGTTTCCTTCTTTTTACAGACTTGGATTTTGATGCTCAACGGACTGTTTTGGCTTCTTTTTCTTTTACTTCTTGTTTCTTGTTCTGCAATTTCTCTACCCATTTCTCTTCTATCTTATTCTGCAATTTATCTCCCGATTTCTTTTCTATTTTTATCTGTCAGCAGTTTAACTTTTTTTTTTTTTTCCTTCAGCTTTTATGAGAGTTAATTTTTTGTATGTTGTACGTACGGTCTTTTTGAAGTTATTATGTTGCCAATTTGTAAGAACAAAAAAGATAACATAACAACCTCTCACTGCTACTTGATGCTGCTGAAACACAGAGTCATTACGTAACAATATCGGTAACTAGGGGTAGGTGTGTTTCTACTATAAAAGTGAGTTAACTCTGCGTCTTTCAGGTATATGAAGCATGGCTTGATATGCGTTAATCAACCTTGAAGCGTTAGTTGTTGTTAGCTGAAAAAGTAATTAAATAAATTCTATAAAATTCTATAAATAAATTAAATAAAAAAAATTAAATAAATTTGATTAAATAATTCACATTTGATTACTAAGAAAATAAAAATAAAAGTTCTCGAACTTTTTTGATCAATTTAAAAACTTGCCATTCCTTATTAAAATTATTGCTTACAAATAGTTTTTTTTTAAAAAAATCCTTTATTACCTTACGTTCTGTGGCTCTTAAGCTTCCTACAAAGACTGCATCATTATCACCAAAAGGTAACATTTCATCTCTCAGGCCAGCTGAAACCTTCTAACTTCATCGAATATTTAGCTTGTAGGGTGCTCGCTCACTAATTTGTTGAAAAACTGGTTCTATATTTTGTACTCTTAGTAAAATATAGAACCAGTTTTTAACCCACACCACCACCCTGGCTAACTGCATAGGGAAATTCTTTCACCCACACTACAGAGACATTTTAGTAAAATTCTTCTGTAGTGTGGGTGAAAGAATTTCCCTATGCAGTTGGCCAGGGTTTGCTTCCTATGGTCATTGAATCTGGACTGGTGGTTTACCTGTTCAAACAACTCTGTGTAAAACATCTTCAGTTGTTACTGACGATATTGAGTGACTTGAGAACAGGAAAAAGGCAAGCAATCAGGTCAAACCCCTCATTTAAAAAAATAAATTAGCCAATCAATTCAATCAATTTTTTAATTCAAGTCATAATCTATCAATATTTTTTTAAAACCTATAAGCAATATTGGTAGTTGCCGCCCCTACAACTTTTAATTGCTCACCTAAAGTAATTGATTTTCTTTTTTTCTAATTTGAATTAAAGCTCTCCTCATCCTTTGAGTTGTTTACAAAATCACACAGTTTGAGTCCCACCTAGTGACCACAGGTGTAATGATTTTGACATCACAGTCTCCTTGCACTCCTTCTTGATCAATCGGCATGTTAAGTAAGATTGGTGGAGTTTGTTAGAGAGTTTGGTAGAAATATCAAAGAAATCCTCAATGTTAAAGAAGATTTGTGGAGTTTGTTGGAGAGTTTGGTAGAAATATCAAAGAAATCCTCAATTGGTTTAATTTTGTTGATGGTTTTACGCAAGAAAATTCCGGTGTTTTTATATTATTGCTGATGCAGTGTGTAGTGAGAGAAAAAAATGGATCATCAGCTTCTGAGATGTTCAGCAATTAGTTTTAAGGGCAACGTGCCTGCAATCTGGAAGATCTTTATCAAGCTCTGATTTGACCACATCCACGACAACATTGTATAACAGGGGCAACTTGTAGTTTTTAAAAGTTGAAGAGTTTTGACTGAAACGCTTTAATTGAAGTACTTTTCAAAAATTTTGAAGGTTGGGTCATTAACCATTTTAAAGGCTGAGCCTGAAATTGAAAAAAGAAATTTGATTGTAATTTCTATCGAAACTTTTCAAAATGAAACACATTTTATCGAAAACAGCTACTTTTTAGCAACATTAGGTAGCGCAAAGTTGAAAATCGAAAAATGCTAAAAATAATTGCAGTAACATTTTTTTTCTCGAAATTGTTTAAAAATTACCCAAAACGACAATTTGTTTTAAAAAAATTACCTGTTTAAGTGATAAACTTCATGATCTCCATTTTAGTCTCCAACTAACTCTTATGTTGTGATTGATATTTGTTATAGTCAAATTCAGTTTGTGCTCTTTGAAATATATTACCAATATTGTTGTTATTGGTGACTTTAATACTCATCGCACTGAATGACTTATCTCTAACGACACTGACCCTGGTGGCACTAAACCCTTTAACTTCAGATAGTTACTTTGTGGCTCATTTTCCTGACAATCCTAAACATTAACCTTCATTCCTTGATTTATGTCTTGTTCAGTTTCTCTTTTTTTGACGGCAATAAGCAATAGTCTATATAAATTTTTCATCTTGTACTTCTTTTTCAGACCTATCATTGCACTACTTACTACTAACCTAAAGCTGACTGGGATTCTTTTTGTGATTTTCTTTGCGACGATCCTTGGGCTGATGTTTTTTCTCTCTCAGCTGATTATGAAAAATATCAAACTGTTTCATTCTAACCGCTTTATTAAAGTTTTCTTTTAAGGCCAAGATTCGATCGCATAAACAGGAAGCCGATCTTGAATTTGATCTCACTACTGTAACAGTTTGGGGTTACAATGGCTTGTAAATTTTAATTCCAACAAAACTTAATTACTTATTGCAAACAACTATTGCAATACTGTTGAAACTTCTATCTAAATGAATGGTAACCCTCTCACTAAGTCCTCTTCTTTACTTCTTTTTGGATTTTCTTTTACTACTGACCTTTTATGGAAACCATATATACAATCGATAGCTAAATTATCTACAAAGGTTTTATCGTGCTTCTCTTTATCGTGTTTGCCAGTTTCTCACCCCTGATACCATTCTCTACCTCTACAAATCTCTAATTTGTCCCTGTATGGAATACTGTTCTTATACTTAAGTTGGTTCTTCTAATGGTGCTCTTTTTCTTCCAGACAAAATTCAAAAACGCAGTGTAAACGTAGTTGGACCTGCTCTATGTGCTAAGCTTAAGCCTCTTTCCCATCGTTGTAAAGTTGTGTCATGGTCACTGCTCAAAGGGATTATCATCTCTAGTTCCATTAACTAAAACTTTTTCTCACTTGACTTGTCATTCAACTACTGTATTTCATTCGTTTACTGTATCTGTCCCTGCATGCTCTAAAAATTTTTATTCGTCTAGTTTTTTTTACCCACACTTTAACTCATTGAAACTCTTTCCCACCTTCATGTTTTCCCGACTCATACAACCTGCAACCTTTTAAGTCTTCTTCTAACCGTTTCTTTGCTTTATTTGTTTTTTCCTCATAACTCCCAATTTAATAATCGTTGCTTGCAGCCTCATTGGGAGTGAATCAGAATAAAAAAAAAATCTACAAAAACTCTTAAACCTCGCGCCTTAAAATCTTGGTTGAGAACTTGTATTTATTCTAAATATTTATTTTTAAAAATATTTTTAAAGTATTCTATATTATACAGCTTACAAAATTGAATTAAAAAACAATTTATTTGTCTTTTCTATTTTTATAGCTTTGTAAAGGTCTTCGCGGGGCCCTTTTTTAGCGCACGGCTTGACACCTCCGCGTCTTTTGCGTTACTTCTTTTCTGGTCCTGAGTGCAGAAGGGAGCTCAATGATATCAAAAATTTGAGTTTAAGAACAACTTTTACAAATAGCAGTTTGTAGTTTTTTGGTAAAGCGATATGAAAAATATATACTCATTATATACTTATTCCAACAATACAAATATATACTCATTCCAACAATAGTATCAGAGCCGATGACATCGAGGGCACACCCCCCACCCTACACACACACTTTTTTTCAAAAGGTCCTTTTTTTTTTTTAATAAAAGGAAATTCTAGATATAAACGAATTTTTTTAAGAATTGACGATTGTGCCCCCTCCCCCCTTCAACTTCGAAACCCGCATCGTCGGCCCTGAATATGTGGGAAATAATAATAGTAATAAAAATAGTAGTATGATATAATCTTGGTAGTGGTTTACTTTGATAAACACTTAGCATTTTTTTAATGTGGCTAGAATCAAAATGACATTTTTTTTATGATAAAAGTCATAGTAGCAAAAATTATTTCGATTACCGCTACTTAAAAAAAAATATCGGACTATTATTTAAAATTTAAGCAGTCGGTATTCATTTTTTTTATTAAACTACGCTATACTTAATTTATTAACTTACTTGGAAATATAAGACTTGTATTTTGAGTAATTACTTTGCCGTTTCCAGAAACAATTAGGTACAATACACTACCATTGTAATTAGAATTCATGACGCCCATGTCGTATATAAACTGATATTTATTGACTTCTGTCTCATTCGAGTATTTAGGAACATATATTTGTTCTTTAAATATTACAATGCAATCAGGTTTTGGTTTACCGTATATGATTGTTTCAACGCTCAGTGATTCACCGTCTTTTATATGCAAGACTTTTGGAAAGTTCAAAACTACTGGAACAGCTAGTAAACAACACCTCAAATACAAATGTTTAAAGTTAACTTTAAAATTCAATTTAATATTTGTTATTACTGTCTTTGTCATCATCGTTGTCTTTTTACGTTTTTGTCATCATCACAATTATCATCATCATCATAATCATTATTATCATCATAATCATCATCATCATCATCATCATCATCATCATCATCATCATCATCATCATCATCATCATCATCGTCATCATTATTATCATCATTGTCGTCGTCATTATAGTTATTATTATATTATTGACAAATATGGCACAAATCGCATTATATAAACTGACCTTTGACATCAAGTGATATGTAAAATTGAGCTATGTTATACACATTTTCTTTTTTAAACAACAGTAGAATAATAAAGTTCATTGAATCATTTATATTTAACTTTGTTATAGTTGTAACGTAGTCGTAACCATATACACTGGTTGTAATTCTATTTCCAAATAAAAACGCACCATTTTGTGTAACATTGTATTGATTTACATTTCCTTCAGCAATTACAGTTTTGTTTTCAAGAATAAACTTTACAACTTGTAATAATTCATCTGTATCAAACTGGAAAGAAGCAGTGATATTAACGTCATCACCTTCATTTAAATTGTCCATTCTTGTTGTACTCCTGAAAGAAACGCATTCACCTAAAAAGAAAAGTGTTTAGGTAACTGTCAAAATCATTCATTTAAAAATAAATAAAAAATTTGTTAATTTAATTCTTAAACACTTTTTTCAGGCAAGCCCCTAATTATAATATAGAGAAGAGACATTATACAAAAGAGGTCATACCCAAACCCAAAGAAATTACAAAAGAATTAGAAGCTATCATAAATGTTTTTAAGTAATACTCAGGAAAAAGTCTTATTTTCTAGAGGTTTTCTATGAAATAGCGAAGATATAAAACTGATGGTAAAATCCAATATAGTATCAACTTGTAAAAATATTCAAGTTTGACATGCCTGGAAAAAACTGGTGCATGTCTTTTGAAAGAAAATGTTGATGTAAGAAAAAATGAAAAACGGTGCCTATCTTTTCAAAGAAGATGCAAACTTTTTTTAAGTTGTATGAGAACTAGTTAGATAAAATTTATTTTTATAAAATCATTTTTAATTTAGATTTAATTGGCTTGCGAACAGATCTTTTTGCTGGAAAAATATTTTTTTGGAAGATTTCAAAAACAGCCTGTTAACTTACTCAATCATGCAAATAATCAATGTATACTATCCTGTTTTGTGAACCAGCAAACGGTCAGTGTCTATTTTCCTTTGTAGTCTTAAAAGTTCTTCACCAACAAAATCAAGTTAAATGGAGGGGTAACTTTTTTAAAGGTGGGTAGACAGGTTTATTATACATATAAAGGATTTAACAAACTTGTGTTACTACTATGTAATGAGTAAAGTAATCATTTAACATATTTTAGGGGTAGAGCGCAGGATTTTTATATATTTTAATTCTATTTATTATATAGTTTTATTTATACTGTTTACCTTTAAACGCAAAGATCTTAAAACATCTTACAATATCTTATAACATCTTACAACATCTTACAACATCTTACAACATCTTACAACATCTTACAACATCTTACAACATCTTACAACATCTTACAACATCTTACAACATCTTACAACATCTTACAACATCATGACATCGGTTTTTTTGTTCCGTTGAAATGTCGTTGAAAAAAGATCATTAAAATCTTTTTAGGAAAAAGCAGACATAAAAATGTTGCTTCAGACTTTGCTAAACACTCAGAGAGAGAAATAGAAAACTCCTAAAAAGTGATTTCATTTGGTTTGGTTTTATCAAACTCCTAAAAAGTGGTTTCAATTCTAAAAGTCTTTACCTTGTAGATAAATTTAAACCTATGATGAAGATAGTTTATACTAAAACGTGATGAACTAGATAAATAAATAAATCTAATGAAAAAGTAAAAAACTAATGTAAAAAAACTTACAGATAGCAATTGAGAAATTGAGTCTACATGCTCCATGTCAGCGTTAACCTACATTGATAACAATTGCAAATGCACTTTTAATAGTACCAGATATTGTAACCAGTTACAAGAAGAAGAGAAAAAGAAAAATTCAAAGTGTAAGTATTACAACTTTGAAATTTTATTCATATGAAAAGAGATAAATAGGATGCAAACGCTATTTATAAAATGTGTACTTATATTGTCCTATCGGTGTAATATGGATATGTGAAAGTTGTTGTTAAAAAAAAGGAATGGCAAGTTATTGAAAATTTATTTTCCTCTCAATAAGTAGTTATTGTACATACCTTCAATGTAAAGAAAAGTAAAAAAGGTTTTCTTGTGGGGATTAAGTAAAAAAATTATTTCGCACCAAAAATAAAAATATTTTAAAAGTCTATCTGTTCTCTATTCCTTATTTCTAATTCCTTGTTATTTCTATTACCCCATTATTCTATTCATCTTCTTACTAATCCAACTAAATTTTTCTAATCAAACCCTGAACTGCCGTTTGATTTTTCTAATTTTTGAGATACAGCTCAAATACTTAAAAGTGAAAATGCTTGAAATGACTAGTTTGTGTAGGGGCGTTTTTTATTAAGAAGTGGGAAGGTTAAAACTATGAATTTTAAACTTTGTGAAATCTAAAATGCCTCAAGTTTTTTAATATACTACAAAACAGTTTAAAAAAAACAGAAATATATATTTTTTATTTTTTGAATGTTTGCTTTTGTAAATAGCCAAGTAATTATATTTCTAGTTGATTTGCAGCGGACCTATATAAACATTTTGAGAGGCTCATTGGAGCTTTGCTCATAGCAGCATCTGTTATAATCGCTAGCCGAATAGTTACCAACATGTAATATAGTGACTATTCATTAGCAAGCCACTTAAGCGGCTACCTCTAATGGTTCAGTAATTAACCGATGAGAAAAACTAAATTGAACCACCTGAAAGCCAAATACTATAGAATGTTTATTGGGACAAGTAAAGTCATTTGGAATGTTTTGGAACGTTCATCAAGTTGATGGAATCTATGTGTGACCATGAATAAATCGCTAACAAATTAAAGTTTTAAAAAATCTTTAAATGTTAAGACTTTGTTAACACCAAACACACACACTCATATATATATATATATATATATATATATATATATATATATATATATATATATATATATATATATATATATATATATATATATATATATATATATATGTATATATATGTATATATATATATATATATATATATATATATATATATATATATATATATATATATATATATAGATATATATATATATATATATATATATATATATATATATATATATATATATATATATATATATATATATATATATATATATATATATTAAAAATATCGTAATCAATCTTCTTCCTGATGAACCCACTGATGGAGAGACATGCTGTTGAAGAAACCAAAAATTAGATAAGTGTTTTTACTAATTTATATATATATATATATATATATATATATATATATATATATAAATTAGTAAAAACACTTATCTAATGTTATCTAATGATAAGTGTTTTTACTAATTTATATATATATATATATAATATATATATATATATATATATATATATATATATATATATATATATATATAAATATATATATATACATATATATATATACATATATATATATATATACATATATATATATATATATATATATATATATATATATATATATATATATATATATATATATATATATATATATATATATATATATACAAATTTATTGATTATATAAATTTGGTCCCAGTGGTCTAAAAAATACTTTTTAAATGTAAACTTATTATACAAAATAGTTTCATGCTTTCATGTTTTATTTTATAAAGTAGTAGTTGAGGTTTTTAGCCAAAATTTTTATCTGTTGTCATAAATCTGAAACAATACTGAGCCCACAATTAGTGGTGAGCCCACAATTGCTTACTCACAATTACTCACCATAATTAGTGGTCAGCCCACAATTACACAAACAATGGTGAGCCCACAATTATTTAGCAATATCCTTTATAACTAAAATTTTAAATACGGTGTTGACCAACTAACACTTAAATATTTTCTGGGCTTCTAATTTTTAAATAACTATAGTTATTTTGAAATTAGAAGCCCAAAAACATTTTAAATCCAATATGAGTTGAAAATGAATCCCAGTTTTGTTAAGAAGTTTTCAGCCATTTTGTCGTACGTAAAGCTATTTTTAATAAATCAAAGAATTGCTACATTTAGCACCAATAAGGTTCTACGTTTCAATTTTTCTCATTTTTTTATAAGTCAATAAATATTTCTGAATACATTTTTCTTATCTTACATTTACTTTGCCTCGGTGTTTGATCCAATTTAAAAGCCAATTGCAACTCGCCAGCAGGTAAACATTTGCAAAGCTGAAAACTCTTTCATTTAAATACTTCATGTTTTCTAAGTGATATTTCTTAGTAATTTCTCTGTTGGTTTTAAATAAGTTGCAGAATACTCAAATAATTAAATATATTATTCAATTCATAATGTTATACTTTAACGAATTTGATATTGCTTTAATAGAAGCATTATTAAACTGTGAAACATAATATATTTAGATATAATTTGGTCTACATTTACTTTTTTTAAAACATTTTTTTGTCTTTAGATATCTATTTATTACTTCTATATTATTATAAGAATAATAGTAACAATCTGTCTAGGGTATACTGCGCAATTAAGGGATATACTGCGCAATTATTGGGATATACTTAATCATTACTTTTTATAATAGTATTTCAAAAATATAAGGGCTGATAATAATTTATCTAAAAAGAGTGATCTTATTTTGTACAAATGATTGCGCATACAGAAAATACTTTTTCGCCATCCAAAGATGCGGGATTAATTGATAATAATGCATTATAGAGCTTTTCAACATAATTAAAACCAAAAGTCAAAGTTCCGACATGTCGGCAAAAGTTATTATCTCTAGATGGCGTTATTGTAGAGTATTGAGGGTTGCGTAATAAATTCGTGAAATCTGTATACCATCGTTCATCAGTTCTAATCCTCAAATTATCCATAAACTTTTCGCTAAATGAAAAAAAATTTCAAACATGAATTCTAATATCGCTTCAGCGCTTAACAGTGTTTCATCTTCTCAAGATAGAAACTGCTAGTTTTTAGATTTCTTTGCTTTTAGTAATCCTTTTAAAGCATCATTCAACTTAAATCTGCCTTATATTCTAATGAAGCTTTTCATCTCTATCTTTATCAAAAGCTTAAATGTTATTGGTATCGTGTTCCAGCAACTTTTTACATCGAAATGAAGCTCTATTTTATGTTCAAAAAAGAATTTGATTTTTGATTGAAAAACATAATATCAAACAGTTGACAGTTTAAGGTATTTTATTATCGGGTATTAAGGTATTTCATTATTAATAAAGGTATTATTATTATGAATTCGTGGGTAAATGATTGTTCTCTTCATACTTATAACTTCAAAACTGGTGTCTTTGTCAAAAGAACCATAATCATTATTATCACCATTACAGACTTTTAAGTCTTCAGTGTCATATTTTTTCTCATAAAGTGTGTTTCATACTCCGAGATGCACTGTATGCGAGGCTGGATTATGGCTCTTGGGGGCCGAGTGCCGAAAAATTAATTTGGGGGCCTTATTCCTTAAAATGTATATTTAAAATGAATGCAGCAAAACATGAATCACTTTTTTATTCTAATATGAATATGACTGTAATTTGCCTGTAGAAATTAAATAGAAACTCAAAATTTTGTGATAACTTTTCTGCTCTTTTCTACACCACTTACAAGACAAGAAAAAATTTTCTGTAATCTGTTAGTTAAATAAGCACTAAAATTATACTGACATTAAACAATTCCAAAAAAAAATCAGTTGCAGTCTTACAGCAATTGATAAATTTAAATGCTATCAACAGTATTTACGACACAAGGAATAAAATTATTATTTTGGTTCTCATTTTTCAATTATGTTTTTTTTTTTTGTTTACTTTAGTTTTTCATTTAAAAAGTTACTTATGCAACAAAAACTTTGAAATATAAGCTCATAATATAAAACATATTATGCTCGTAACTTAAGTTTCGCTCTTTCAGCTTTTTTATAATTTTAGAATATATATATATATATATATATATATATATATATATATATATATATATATATATATATATATATATATATATATATTCTAAAATTATAAAAAAGCTGAAAGAGCGAAACTTAAGTTACGAGCATAATATTTTTTATATTATGAGCTTATATTTCAAAGTTTTTGTTGCATAAGTAACTTTTTAAATGAAAAACTAAAATAACTTTTCTAACTTTTACTTTTAACTTTTGAATGTAAAATACATACATACATACATATATATATATATATATATATATATATATATATATATATATATATATATATATATATATATATATATATATATATATATATATATATATATATATATATATATATATATGTATGTATGTATTTTACATTCAAAAGTTAAAAGTAAAAGTATAAATATGACGAACACAAACTGGAAGCCATAAAGTCAACAACAAAAACAGATTATATACATAATCTGTTACATTTGAAACATAAATTCTACTTCAAAAACATTTTAACATGCGAATCTTCTTATTTTGATATTTTATACATTTTTAAGGCCTTGCAGAAGTGATATAGAGGCCCCAACAATCCCACAACTGCAGTGGCATATATATTTATAAAAGTGGGGCCCCTGCTGGACTCCTATTTTTTGGGGGCCGTTAATCCATTAAGTAGGCATCCGTTAACTCGTAATCAGTTAAGGCATTGACTTTATGAATAAAAAAAATCAAACTAATCCTATTTTATTCGTGATACTGTCAGTTTTATCATGAATACAATTTTGTATTTCACTGGAATATTCTTAGCCTTTAATAATTTTATCTTAGTTTTAAACTTTATGAAGCTCAAGCCATATGAAACTTTATGCAGCTGAAACTCATTACAATATTGAAACAAAACCGTTACAACGAACGCGTGGAAAAAGTTCAAGTTTTAAAATTTTTGTTGCAATAATTTTAATTTTAAAAACAGGAAAAACAGTCTTTTATAAAATAGCTGTTTTCTTTTTTTGATTTTTCTTTAAAATATATTACTTCGTTGTTTTTGTTTTATTTAAAAAAAAAAAAAAAAACTACAAACTACTAGAATTATATTTATCGATAAATTTTAAATTTCATAGTAAAATATTTTAACGTTCAAAAAATATTACCATAAAAAGTTTAAACCCTTATGTATTTGTTCTTTCAAATTCAAGTTAAAATATCAAATCTTATTTTTTATTTAAGGGTAATGACCATGTAATGAATGCAACCTTATGTGAGGGGGTTGTAAATTTTACATGGTTTCCTTTTCTAAACACTAACAGATTTTTTAATGAAGTTTGAAATTTATTTAAGAGCTTTGACCACTGATTCCATCCCCTAAGATTGACAACAGGTTGTAATAAAATTTACATATTTTTGATTTTAAAGGAACCATATCATTGGGACAGATATCGGGTGAAGTGGGACAAACAAGCAATTAAAAACATACAACTATGCATTATTAAAAACTGTTAATTAAAAACTATAAAGATCGTTAACCACGTAATCTTCACCAAAATATTCTAAAGATTTCCACAATACGCAAAAACTACTACATATAAAACTACTTCACAAAAGGGAGAAACTCGAGATTAAATAATTTTCTTTGCCTTACTCCTTACTTCATCTTCAAAAAAAAATTGTTTATTAAGGATACTTTTCAAAAATGTTTTTACCACATGCAGGGTGACAAAGTAATGTTTGCTAAATAGAGGGGAAGAAATTGCATTGTTTACATAAGATCTCCTTATAGGAAATTTTTAGATGTCCCGTTTCTCCCGTTTCCTACTTCTCCCCACTCTCGTCAATTTATTTCTATCGTCCCCTTGCCTTTTCTAACTTTCCCAAATAGTTTGTGAGAGGATTTACTTTGTTGGAGCATATCGTGGAACCACTTCACCCAGTACTTTCTTAGAACATATATTGGAATCGCTTTGATAAGGTATATTTACACTACTAATCAGCTTATTTTTATTATCATTGAACATTATGTGCCTTAGTATGTAGTATTTAGACAATAAAAACATTAATGACAATTGCAATTTGACCGCAGTTTAAAAAATAAATTAAAATACGATACAACTTGCCCTTGCATCCACAAATTTATCTTATAATAGGTGGTGATGGTGGTGGTAATTTACCATACTTTAGTAACTGTGTAGTTTTAAGATAATCGTTAATGATAGTAATAAACATTAAATAATAAGATAAAGTTAAATAAATTGAAAGCAGTCATTGACAATTAGTAATTCTCTATTACTTATGGGTGCCTTTACCGATTATTTTACCAACTAGCGAAAAAACAAAGTTTTGACATTTTTTTCTTCTTTTTCATCGATAAAAACTAAAAAGATTTTTGAAAGATAAAAATTCTCAAAATGAGTGAGGTGAGTAAGACCGTGGTCAAGATAAAAAAATTATTATAAACAACGAAATAAAAAGTTTAGCAAAAAACAAGATAAAAAAATAGAAACGAAGTAGTTTATTCATCGTAGACAATACAAATCAAAGTGATTTATAAAATATAGTTTAGTGTATCATACAGTTCAAAATATAACTGTGTGTAACCATAGAGGTGCAAGACATTTGTTTTGTCAAAAAAATATATATAGTATATGTGATTTACATTAACTTTATTTGTATTTGAATGTGCGTGTGAGTGAACTCACAAAAACAAAAAACTTACTTTGTTCCACATTATAAAAAGCCAGTATAATAAAAATAAACATTTTTATACCAAGTATAAAAATAGTTTTTTAACAATTAAAATTTTCATGTTGTTTTTTATGTCTAAAATACAAAACTTAAAAAGTTTCTTAAAACTTGTATTGTCTAAAGTCTTAGAAAGAAGCAATTTCCGTCAATTGCATTTGTGAAGTCATTCTAAATATTTAACTAATCCCACTATTATGCCATTTGAAATAAAAAGAAATTAGTTTTTTAAGTTGAACTGATGTCAAACTTCAATCGCTTTTATTCATTTTACTTTTGTCGGAATAATTGTTTTATATTTTAATATTGTTTGTCTAAATGCTTGTTTCCAAGTAATTTTAATAATTTGTTTTAGCGCAGCTGAACTAAAACAAACAAATAATATTAAAAAACCTTTTACATGCAATCTTCTAATTACTTTCTTTTTGTAACTAGTTATCCGTGTCCATGACTTAAGGATAGCTTAACTATTTAAAAAAATTACAACAAATTTTCTAGTTACGCCAAATGACAACAAATGACAACAAATTTTCTAGTTACGCAACTGACAGGGCCGTCCCACCCACCCAAAAACTGTCATAAAAGCATTTGAGTTGGCACATTGAACAAGTTTTGAACTATAGTTGGCAAATAGAAAATATTGAGGACCATTTTTTTATTATTATTATTTTGGTATTTCTAGTTGGCAAAAAAATAAATACATTCCTCCATGGAAGACCTCTTCGTGACGGCCCTGGCCACTGAATGTAAGTAATAAAATTTAGTAGAAAAACAAAGAATGTAAGAAATAAAATTTTTCCAGTAAGCAACAACTTTTATGCAATTAAATGCCTAGCTAATCGATAAAGCATTTTATGTTTTTGTTTTTTTTATTGTACTTTAAAGCTACTATAGACGCATTTTGCATTCCAATGACGCAAGTATGAAATATGAAGTTCTTAGTAGAAAGGTTTATATTAGCAGACTGTTAGCTTTGTTAGGAAAGCGTATTGCTTATGCCCTACAGGAAATAGTGGGTATTTTAATCAAGTGATGAAATTATTATTTGAACTTGCAGATTATTCTTTAAATTTACCTGAGCATGTACCTGAAAAGACTTCATGCACAAGTAGATCAAGACAATGGGGCATTCCAAGTCATAAAATTAAAACAATTAAAAAATCTATAAAGTTTACAAATGACCAGACAATCGAATTCAAACGCGGCATTAAGACATTTTATATGGCATTAAGACTATCTTTTATGATCCTAGGCGAATAAAGTATATAGAAGAAGATTTAAAAGAAAAAATTTGCACTTTGAAATCAAATGTTTTCAAATAAAGATACTGGTATTGTTCTTCGTGTGTGTGTGACATTTTCAACTTTACTGAAACATCATTTGCAAATTTTCCAACTAGTTCTTCTTTATCTTTATCTTCTGATGAATGAGACCTTTGAAAATATTACCTATATTAAAAAACTTCTAGCAATTTCTTTCAATGTTGCCAATTTTGAACAACATTGAAAGAAATTGCTAGAAGTTTTTTAATATTGGTAATATTTTCAAAGGTCTCATTCATCAGAAGTTGATAAGATAAAGAAGAACTAGTTCGAAAATTGAAATCTTTCCTCTTTTAGCGCTTGGCTTTTATAACAAAAACCATTGCTATGTACTTCGCAACTGAGAACTTAATAAGAAACAAAAAAATTTTTTGTTGTCACTAAAAGTATCTACTGAACAAAATAGAAAGTATAAAGCTGATACCATAACACAAAATGAAAAAAATTATGGTTTAATCTAACAAAATATCGTTTAATTTTAAGTACTTCTCATGAAATTTATATCCGTAAAATAGTATTTTAAACTCTTGTTCAGCAGTTATTTAACCCCAAAGAAACAGTTAAATTTTCTATGATCTTGGTCATACAGTCATGGAAAAAAAAATTGAAGTTTTAAAAAATAGATTAAATTGTAATATTTCAGTCAGGAAAACTGGAATTGTATTACAGCCTAGTTTATTTCGGTTGTCTGCAAGTCCTGAAGGTCTGCTATTTGATGAAGAAGCTGAGTATTACTACGGCGTAATTTAATTTAAATGTCCTAAACAAAAAAAAAACTTATCTATTTCAGAATGTTTATGTGACAATGACTTTTATATTGGATTAGAAAATTGAGAACCATATTTAAAAAAAGATCATCCCACTGGTTAATATTCACAAATACAAATGGCAGTTATGTATTTGTTTAGTTGGGTATGCATTTAAGGCGATTGCTATCATAAGAACACCTTTTAACAATCAGTTCTTTTTTTAAATTAGTTACTAAGTTAAATTGTTTTTACATTAACTATTTTCTACCTCAAATATCGGATAATGACGTTAATAGTCAGGAAATAATATTATATAAGTAAACAAATGTTTTTATTTTTGATTTTGGTTTTTAAAAAGTGATAGGAGAAAGTTACATAAAAGACAAATAATTGTCTATAGTTGGTCAAATGACTAATGAAACGCTAGAAGAATTTCTTGACTTGTGTGGTAAAATACTTTAATTCTGCCAATTTTATATGAATTTTCAAAAATACTATGGTTTGACTTTTTATTGCCTCCATTTTTTTTAGCTGTAACTGTCCGTTTAAGAAAGATGGTATATTTAACTTAACATTGATTGTTTTCAAATTACCTGAGATGGTAAGTTCTTTATAAAAAAAACAAGACCTTACAACAATTTCTTTGTCAGAAATAGATCCATCATAAAATTGACTTATAAAAGTTATAGCTCCTGATGGAGAAATGTCTAAAAAACCTTTATAAATTACTTGATGTTTATAATTGGAGATTAAAGAATTCTGCTACCTTAGTGATAAAGGTTTCTAACAAAAAAGTTCAGTACAATCAATGGTGTACCTCGTTGAAGGAAATGTCATCTTGAAGGTTTCTTGCATTTTCACTTTTCAACTTGTTCCCGTGAAGTTCAAATAGGAACCTAATAAAAATGTAGAAAATGTGTCCATGTTATTAAAAGACGCGATGCTGTAAATTTTGATATTTCGTATAACCTAGACGTGTAAAAAAATGTACATCCATTTTTTAATTTTGGTTTTGGAGTAGATTTTTTTTTCATTGACTAAAACTGTAATATTTTTGGATTGTGATGAGTTGTAATATTTAACAATTTCTTCATTTTCTCCTGAATTTAAAAATTTGAATAAGTTAATCCACTGTTTATGTCTAGTATACCTTTGTAACAATTTCTGTTTGTTGACATATTTTCATAACTATGAGTATATTGTCTTTTATATTGATTTAATTGATTTTTTATTTATTTTATTTTGAGATTCTAAAATGCGCATTTTAGATATCAACTCCTATTTTTCTTTTTCCAATACATTAATTTTATGTCGTAGGTCATCACAACAACAGCTTCTTTTTGGACTGCTGTCAGCAGTCCAAAAAGAATCTTTCTACAAAGAAGGTAACACAAGCATAATCAATTAAATCCAGTGTTTTTTATTAATTAACCTAGTTTTAATACAAATAAAATACAAAAGTAGAAATTGTTATTTTTGTAACACCTTTTAATTTATTTTTGCAATTTAATATTTCAAAGTATAAAATTCAAATATGTTATTTCAAAATACACTTTTTTCAAAAGGTTTTCCCTTCAATCAAACTTGAAATTTTACTATTTTTTAAAAGAAATGAGTTGCACAAGTTTGGCCGTCGGTATGTTATTACGAATTCAAATTCGTTTTAAATGAAGCTTTTGGGAACAATCAATACTTTGTTTGGTATTCATATTATTAACTGAGTTGCGCTTTTTTTGGTAATTATGATCTTTATTATAAATCATAAATAAAGTGTATGCTTTGTTTTGGTATTTATGATCTATATTACAGAAAAGGTTTTCAAAAATTTATTGGAAAATTCTGTAAAAGTTAGTAAAGACTCTGTGGTTTGCGACTAACATTTAATTTAGCAATTGTTTTAATATATATTAAAACAATTACTAAATTAAATATTTAAAAATTAAAAAAACAAATATTTACATTAAAAAACCGTGTAAACATATGTTTACACGGTTTTTTAATGTAAATATTTGTTTTTTAATATAAATATATATATATATATATATATATATATATATATATATATATATATATATATATAATATATATATATATTTTAATATATATTAAAACAATTACTAAATTAAATATTTAAAAACTAAAAAAACAAATATTTACATTAAAAAACCGTGTAAACATATGTTTACACGGTTTTTTAATGCAAATATTTGTTTTTAGTTTAATATACTCTTGGTATGTTTATTTCACACCGACCAATTCTATACTTATTCCTTACTTCAATACTTTTTAGTAAACGGTAGAAAAAATAAAACAAATCACAAATATGTACACAGTGGCGGATTTAGGCATAGGCTACATAAGCTGTAGCCTATTGGCACCATATAAGGCCAGGAAGCATTAAAAGAAAAGCCATAGTTTGATAAAGAATAAGGTAAAAATATTATATTAGTAGGAAAATAAAATTACTCGATAAACACTTATTGCTCCATTATTGATAGATTAAAAATGAAATTGAATAAAAGGTGTTAATTGTACCTATTCCTAAATGACAATATTTATTTTCTGACAATTCTTGCACAACTGGAAGTTTCTGAAACTACAAGATATGTATTAAACTTAAAAAAAACACACACAGATGATTTTGAAAACTTATTTATAGAGGAATGCGTTCATTTTCGGGAACATCTTCATCATATTAAACCAGAATTGGAAAACCAAGGTAATAATAAAGCATACTCTGTATTTGAACAGTCCAAAATCATAAAATCAAACTCGATTCAGGACATATATTCAAATGCTGACATTTCTGGAATATTTCCTTGCACACCTTCACCTAACTACTCGGGTAAACGGTCATTTTATATCTTAAAAATAATCAGGAATTAATTTAGGTCAGCAATTGGTCAAAAAATTCAAAGCTCTGACAGTTTTGACGATAGAAGGTGAAGTAGTAAAGAACATAGACTGTTATGATATTATTGATTATTTTGCTACTACGAAAGCAAAGAAGAAAAACTTATGATTTTATTATGATTAAACGCTTCAGTTTTTGATACAATCATCATGAATCGGGTTCCGGTGAAACATTCAGTAGGGGCTTTGGAGAGGGTCACAGGGCATTGCCATAAAAACATCAGCCAATGGGCTCCAAGTTTTTAAAATCGTCTCTGTATGTAAAAAATAAATTAGATCAAATTTTTTTAATTCTCTAATTTTTAAAAATTTATCCTCAAAAGTAATCTCAATCCATTTTATATTCACAAAATACATAAAAATTAAAAGGATTTAAATGGATCTAGTTAATTTAATACACGCAGTAATAAAACAAATCAAATTTTTCACACGTTTTGAACCAAAGTATTGGGTCGTTGCCTTTGTTAGTTTATTTAAAACTTTTAGGCTTTATCTATTATTGCTGAATTCAAATGGTTACCAGTGACTTGACACCTGATAATAAACTTTGCATATGCATCAGCATTTATCATTTAGCTGAATTTCTGAAGTGTTGATAGTTAATTTACATTTTAAACGCCTTTTTAAAAGATTTAAAACGCGAGAAAAGCCAGATTAGATTTTATCTCTAGCGAATATAAACTAGTTATAAACCAAGCAAACAAGTACGAACGAGCCATTTTTTTTTTGTTTTTTCCTATTTTATTTTAGAAGTTTGCCTAAATACGATAAAAAGGTTTGAAATTAACACATAAAATATCGTATAGACTTTTTAAACTTATCAATTCCTCTATAAAAAAATTTTTTTTTTTTCAATTTACTTTATATTTTATTTCATATACATTTTTATTATTATAATATTTAGATTAAAAAAAAAATCTATTTGCTGAATATAAAGTTTTTAATTTAAAAATATAAATTTTATTCATTTAATTTTTTAAAAATTATACTTTACTAAAGTTATACTTTTTAACAAATAATCTTAAACTTGTAAAAAAGTTTAGGTTTGAACGAAATATATTGCTCCAGTTAAAGTACTTTTGTCTTGACGCGGGCAAACGTTTCTTTCGGTGTTAATAAAAATTTCAAAATAAGCATTTCGCGCACTATAAAAATTCGTAATCAACAAAGACCAAAGTTAACATAAAAAATGGAACTAACCATTAAAATATTAGGAGGCGAAGAATATAATGTTACAGTACGTTATTCGTAAATTAAAAAAATTTGTGTTATTATTATTGCATTTTACAAATGAGAAATATACATATATTTACTTTTTTGAATTTTTATGAAATATTTTTTGTGTTGTTTAATTTTTGTGTTTTTGTTGCTGTTTATATTTTGTTACTGAATTTTTATAATGCATGTTTGATGGTGCCGTCGTTGATGTTGTTGCTGTTAATTTTGTATGTTGTTGTAGATTGTTGTTGTAGTTTTGAAAGTATCTATATATGGTGTTTTAATAAAAACTATTTTCTACACTCTAAATAAATTACTTTGCTATGCAGTGTGTTTTAACAATAATAACTTGTTTTATCAATAATAACAATCATAAGTATGTTTTAACAATAATAACTTGCTACATTTGCTAAAGTAACATAAAAAAAAAAACAATTAAAATAACTGCATTTTACAGCATCAACAACAGTAAAAGCAACTGCTGCAGCACCACTGCACATACTAAAATGACAATTGCAACTGCAGAATAAATAAAAAAATACTGTAATTCCTTGCTATGAGTTTTTTTTACATAATTTCTATATAAAAATCCAAAGTATCATTTTTTAAAGAAAGCATAAATAAATACTTGGTTTAAATAAAAGAAAGACTGTACTTTCTTTTTTCACAGGGAACCTTTTTATGAAATGTTTTTTTTTTTTTAAACTGATCTTTAAATTTTTAAACGCTGAGAACTAAGTAGTTATGTATAAATGTTAAAAAGGTTCCCCATTTCATTAGTTTCCTTATCCTATTTTTAATCTCTGTGAAAATTTTAAAACAATATTGATGTGTTTTGGTACTTAGTAAACTTTACCTTCAAAAACTTTTTTTGAAAAAAAGTTCCTGTGGCAGGTTTTTTCATCACAGTGGTCTTACAAGAATAATATATAAGTCATATAAAATTTAGTACTAAACATGGTTTGAAAAAGGTTGAGACCAGCTAATTGATCTAAAATCCTCAAGGTTCTAGCTTAATTAAAAAAAAAAGATACAAGATAAAAGTTCATGAAAATTACGTGTTTTTTGTCAAACATCAAATGTTTTTTGTTGCGCTGTAGAATTGCAAGCAAATGCACAAAATATATATTTAGTTACTACTATATATATATATATATATATATATATATATATATATATATATATATATATATATATATATATATATATATATATATATATTTATATATATATATATATATATATATATATATATATTAGTAATTAAATATATTTTGTGCATTTGCACATCAAATTAGAACTATATATATATATATATATATATATATATATATATATATATATATATATATATATATATATATATATATATATATATATATATAATATATATATATATATACATATATATATACATATATATATATATATATATATATATATATATATATATATATATATATATATATATATATATATATATATATATATATATATATATTAGTAATTAAATATATTTTGTGCATTTGCACATCAAATTACAACTATATATATATATATATATATATATATATATATATATATATATATATATATATATATATATATATATATATATATATATATATATATATATATATATATATATATATATATATATATATATAATAAGTTAAAGATTTTAACATTAAATTTAAAATATAAAGTAAAGTTCAAATATTAACAAAAATCAAAATGTTTTAATGACATTTACATGTGTAACAACATAAAAAGTATCACTTCTAAATAAAAATTAGAAAAAATAAACTATCCGATCAGAATTTAATGTATCATTTGATTGGTTTTAAGTACCTTTTTCTTTGGTTGGGCAACATATTTCTGTTGTTTTCTACAACTCGTATAATGTTTTGGAACTTATTTACTTTCTTAGCAGTTCCCACAAAGTCAACACAAAGATTTACTCCACGTTCAGCAGAATGTTTACAACACATAAACTAGAAACCACATTTTTTGAAGCTAGAAAATTTTTGTTTTTTTGCCATTCCATAACCGGTTCCCTGAGAAAACTACTATTTATATTTAATATGGTGAAAAATATTGGTGAGTCTTCACCAATTAAATCAGTCAAATCATTCACAATCATTTTAGAACTCATATATAATATATATATTTTACTTTTCAAAATAAAAGTTTATCCAAAAATTCTAAGTGATGCATAAAGTTCAGTTTATTTATTGTTTAATTATTATAATAATGCACAATAAAAATATTTAAATGCCATCGGTTGTAAAATCGGTAAAAGAGACTGATGCCGATACTGATTCCAATTGTACAAAAAGTGGCCGATTAAGCCGATGCCGATACCGATTAATTGGTACATCAATTATATATATATATATATATATATATATATATATATATATATATATATATATATATATATATATATATATATATATATATATATATATATATATTGTGTTGTTAAGGTGATCAAAGTCTAATTTTTTTATGATAGAGAGCATCATAAATAGAGTTATTATTTTCCTTTTTTTTTTGGAAAAAATTGTTTACCTCTGAGACTGTTAGGTCTACAATAAGGTTGGCATTGGCAACCCTTATTGCCCAGGGTTGTATTTAGTAGAGTATGTAAATACTGTCATCCTAAACCCAAACCCTCAGTTTGGGTTTAGGATGAAATTAACATAGTTTACAATAATGTAAAATACAAATTTTAAAGAGAAACTAAATTATTCATTATATTCAATCTCATATATTTTATTACAATTAGTAATGTAAAACAATTAGATTGGTGGATTAGTAATTATAATAAATTTATTTTATAGGTAGATCAGACACAACCAATTTTGTATTTAAAGAAACTTGTTGAGAAAAAGTATGGTATTCCTACTACCCAACAAAAGCTATTGTATATTGGAAAGACTTTAGGAGGTTTTTCATATATATATATATATATATATATATATATATATATATATATATATATATATATATATATATATATATATATATATATATATATATATCCTTATAGTGTAGTCGAAAGAGACTTTTATGGTAAAAAAAGTCTCTTTCGACTACAATTTTTATTATCTCGTCTCTTAAGCTGTATTTGACTGTCATCGAAATGTTAAAGCAATTAATTTAATGCCGAAGTACATTAAATTTTATTGTTTTTTTAAAAAACCGCAATAATAATGACTAGAAAGTTTTTTTATTTGTGGTGTTTTTGTTTTTGTTTTATTAAAAAACATTTTTAAAACATGCGTAAGTGTTGCTGCATTGACTATCTTATAGCCTGCTGCTACAAGGGAGTGTTGCTACATCGACTATCTTATAGCCTGACTTGCAACGGAGTGCTGCTACATCAACTGATAAATAGCCTGACTCACAAGGGAGTGCTGCTACATCGACTGACAAATAGCCTGACTCGCAAGGGAGTGCTGCTACATAGACTGAGGGTTTGGTTTGGGCAGGCAGTCTATCATTTAAAAAAAAAAAAAATTTGGTGAGGTTTTTTAACATTTTCTGGTCATGCTTATTAATGCGCTCTTTAAAACGACAGTTTATGGAAAAACTTTGTGACTACCATGCAAGTATATATATATATATATATATATATATATATATATATATATATATATATATATATATATATATATATATATATATGTATATATGTATATATATATATATATATATATATATATATATATATATATATATATATATATATATATATATATATATATATATATATATATATATATATATATATATATATATATACTTGCATGGTAGTCACAAAGTTTTTCCATATGCACTTTATAATTCACTTTATAATGCACTTTATAATTCATCAATATTGAGAAATAAAAACTTTAAGAAGTTATTGGTTTTTCTTAACACAAACAAAATCTTTTTTTTTCTAGCTCTATTTTTTTTCTTTTTATTCTTGAAAACTTATCATTTTAATAGAAGTTATTTTTTAACTTTTTAAATTTTTGTTCTGGGAAAGAGGTTTTCCAATTTTTTTTTCTAACAATGATAGAATTTCTTGCTATGATATTTCTTGAAGTTGGAACAAAGTACTCAGACACTTCAAAGTAACTTGATATCTTTTTGCCTATTCATAATTCTAGTGCAATTGTTAACATGGTGCAAGTGTTAACATTTGCACTTTATGGCAATAAGAGTCAGTTTCAGAACTTTTATTTTTGATTACATACATTAAATTTTCTAGCTCATGATCTTTCTTTAACTTATTGTCAGAAATAATGCTGTTTGTTTCTGCTGTTAAAATAGCTTCATCAATATCATACACTAATGAAACTATTTGTGCAACTCTGTCTATAGTGTCGCCAAGCTTTTATTTTGCTGCAGGTATTTTTCAGTGTTTTGGAACACATTTCAATTTGGCTGATGAAATCCCAAGTAATTCTTTTGAGGTATCAAACTTAACATTTTTCTCACTCTTTTAATCTCAATAATTTTTTTTTTTCTTTTTGTAACATCAACATCAATGTTATTTTTGTATTTCTGTCAAAATTTTTTTCATAGAATTGCTCAGGATAACAGTATAAAATTTTGATTGTATACAATTTTGTATTGTATTGTATTGTATTGATTGTATACAATTTTGAACAGTATACAATTTTGATTGAACAAATTTTTTTTTATAAATTTGCTTGCCATGTTATTTCTTCTTGCTATTCATAAGAAAGTTGGAGTTGAATAAAAATCTTGTTTTCTGGAAAGTTTTGTGGAAATAAATGTTGAGAGTTTTTCCAATATTATATTTCTCCATATTTACTATATTTATTGTTTTTGATATCACTAGCTAGAAGAATAACTAAATAATGTAAAAATAGAGCAGTTCTGAGACATAAGGGTGACATGGTCTAGATAATTTAGATAATCTTATCGTTATAGTTTATTATTTAATTTAGTTAAGTTTTAATTTTATTTCTTCTGTTTTAGTTAAGTTATTATTATTATTTTTTTTCTTCTGGATATAATTACTTGTAATACGATCCCAGGCCTTGACAATGGAGAATAGGAAACCCAGTGTTTGCGCGAGATTTCAAACAAACATCTGACTGAAGTTTAGTCCACACTAAAAAGTCCAGAAAATTAACATATGGAGTATTAGGAGACCACCAATTTTTAGGCCAGATATTCAGCATATTTTCAGCCTATTCAGCAAAAATTCAGCATATATATGGCAGATCTGTGTTTTTTTGATGATGTGGCATGGTGCTCCAGCTTGGGTAAACACATCTTTTATGTTTTTATCATAGATTACCTCTATTCAAGGCTTGACTCTTCAGAATGTTTATATAAGCTCTAGTGTTCAGTTTTTAACCTTCTTTCAAAAACACAACAGGCATTTTTTCACCATCAGAGGCAATGTTTTTTTTTTTTAATATGTCTGAGGTTCAAAGTCCACTTTGGTTGCTTTAAACAATAACACTGGAATTGTTCTCCAGAATAACACTCGCTCTACGGCCGACTTGCTAACTGCTGTAACTGAAAGATTTTATCGTGCATTAGATGGAGGTGGTGAGGCTAGGGCTATTGCTCTCGACATATCTAAAGCTTTCGACAAAGTTTGGCATGCTGGTCTTCTCCATAAGCTTGCTTCATATAGTGTTTCTGGGAAAGTTTTTGAGATTATCAAATCATTTCTTTCTAACCAATTTATTAAAGTCATCCTTGAAGGCCAACACTCTTCTTTATTTCCAGTAACTTCTGGGGTTCCCCAAGGTTCCGTCCTGGGCCCTGTTTTGTTTCTTATCTACATAAACGATCTTCCTGACAACCTTTCATCTAAAGTAGCTCTTTTTGCTGATGACTCAACTTTATACTCCTGTCTTGACAAAAAGTCCTCTCATTTCGATCGCCTAGAACAAGCAGCTGATCTTGAATCCGATCTCACTTCAGTAATAGATTGGGGTTCCCAGTGGCTTGTGAATTTCAACTCTAAAAAAACCCAGTTGCTTACTGCAAACAACTACCGTAATATGGTCAACATTCCTATATTAATAAATGGCAATCCTCTTACTGAGTCGTCCTCTTTACGTCTTCTTGGATTATCGCTTACTACTGACCTTTCATGGAAACCATATATACAATCGATTGCTAAATTAGCTTCTGCTAAGGTTGCTTCTCTTTATCGTGCTCGCCATTTCCTTACTTCTGATTCCATTTTCTACCTCTACAAATCTCTTATTCGTCCCTGTATGGAATACTGTTGTCATATTTGGGCTGGTTCTTCTAACGATTCAGTTTCTCTTCTTGACAAGGTCCAAAATCGCATTGTAATTGTTGTTGGACCTGGACTATCTGCTAAGCTTGAACCTCTTTCCCATCGTCGTAAAGTTGCATCTCTTTCTCTTTTCTACAAATACTATCATGGTCACTGCTCAAAGGAGTTATCATCTCTAGTTCCATCAACTAAAATTCATTCTCGTTTTACTCGTCATTCAGCTGAGTCTCATTTGTTTACTGTATCTGTCCCAGCATGCTCTAAAAACTTTTATTCATCTAGTTTTTTTCCCCGCACTTCAATCCTTTGGAACTCTCTCCCATCTTCATGTTTTCCTGACTCATACAACCTTCAACTTTTCAAGTCTTCTGTCAACCGTTTCCTTGCTCTATAACTCTGTTCATTTTTTTCTTAGTAACTCCCAACTTAATAGTGGTTGCTTGCAGCCTTGTTGGGAGTAAATGCAAATTAAAAAAAAAAAAAAAAAAAAAAAAAAAACAGTTGTTTTTGCTATTGAGACACGCTCAAATAGTATCCTCCTATACCTTTCTTAACTGTAGCATTATTCTTATTCAGTTTTTAACAAGTCAACGTTACAAGTTAATATTAAGAAATTACAGCTTGTCTCAGACCTGCTCCTTTAACGTAAAAAATAACAAAAAATTGTTAATAAATCATTCAATCAATACACTATTCAATCAATAAGGTGATTCTTAAAATAACATTTTCGATAAATAACTGCTCTCACCCCCTAAATGGTTGCAACAATTGTTTTCTTATTTCCTTATAAAAACTATTTTTAGGGGTAGCCTAAAAATAGTTTCTATAAGTAAGAAAAATAGTTTTCATAAGACCCATATATATCAGGGATACATCAGATAAATCCATAATATAATCAACAACAAAAATTTGTCATTAAAAATTTTTTTATAAAATATGATTATTATTTTTTTAAATATAAATTTTTTTTTTCCAATTTTGCTTCTTTTAGGACCAAGGTTGATTTTTGAAACTTGGTGTTATTTTATTATATAGAGCACATTAAGAGAGTAAGAACGGATATTTTGTAAACATTCCTCCTAAAACTCTAAGAAATAACCTATCTGTTTTATTCAAGATCGCAATTTTTTTAGTAACACTATACTGAAAAGCATTCTTGCACTTTCAACAAAATAAATACTTGTGAAGGTGTAAGCTTGTGTAAAGTAAATTGTGTATTTGATTTTAACTAATAGTTTAAATTGTTAACTTTGAAAAATATAAAATAGCAGAGATCTGAAAAGAAATAAAACATTTAGTGTAGAAGTGTGGGAATTTGATATCGAACAAAAAAAATGGAGACGGAAGACCATGTTCAAAACAAGCTATTAAGGTTGTAAAGGCTGTTAGGCCCCAGCTGATTAGAAGCCTGGTACAACCAATGTGGTAGATGGCAAAGGACCTCAACACGTCAGAAGAAACAAAAACAAATATCATCAAAATGTGAAATTGTGGCTAGATCTTTAGCCAGAACAGCTATTACTGACTGAAAGTAATAAGGCCAACAGACTAGAAAGGAGCAAACGAATTATGGCCTCATTGATATAAAGGCACGCAGGTTTTATTATTCTCTAAAAGAAATAAATTAATCGTAACATTTATGGTAACACATTAGGGTTCTCTGTATCTCTTTAAAAATTATGAAAAAATGTTAATGCATGAAAATGAGCAAAATAAGTTTTAAGTAATTCTAATTTTTTCTTCTATATTTTTCTTATTTTAACTGATAGAAATTTAAATAAATTCATGTTTTTTGTTTTGAAAACATTTTTTGTAGTATTAAGTTTTATATTATAACCTTCAAACTAGTTAATATAATTTAATGTTAAATGTATAATATTTATTATAAGATAATTAAAATTTATTAATTTTAAAATGTTTTTATTTTGTTTATTAAAGATGAAAAAACCATCTCAGAATGTGGCATACGGTGCAAATCAAAAATCAATCTTATTGTCATGAAAAATGTTACCGACTCCTCTTCTAAATACACCAGCGAAGATTTTTGGAAGACACTTGAAGCTGTTCTACTAAAATATCACAGCCATAGCGTTGCACAAAATATAATATCACAATTTGAAAAGGTTTATATATTGAACATTTGTTTTTCTTAAATGTAAATGAAACTCAGCTTTAATATTTATATCATTAAAAATTAAATTGCGTCATTGTGTATTTTAAAGTTCCGCATTGTAATTTAAAATTAATCTAGAAAAGAAGATTTGAGTTAATTAAAATTATCAAAACAAGTTATTTATTGAGATATTAACTAAAAACATTTGTTGTTTTGTCATTATACTTCTGGTTGAGAGGAAAATATTATAATTATGTATCTGTATAGCTTTTATCATTGAGAAAATATCTGGTTTGAGTAATAAAAGGTACTTACCACAGAGTTTTTTTAATGATTTACAAATACATAATTTACTGTTTACACAATTACAAAGATTGGGTTTCACTCCCAACAAGGTTGCTAGCAACTTGACTTATTCATAGTTAGTACGACATCCCAAGCAATAAGCTAAGAAGTTGTCTCTAACCTAAGTTCTGTTAACTAACCCAAAATCTTGGTAAAAAAAAAACTTAGGGCTCCTTATATGGCGTTGACAATGCACACCGAAAGCATTAACATGAACACCATCCATTTGCAACATGGCACTGTTAATGCTCCAATATTTTACAGCTGTTGATGAAATCAGCATCTCTGAGAGCTACCATAGAGTTCGGTAATCTCATAACCAGTAAACTGAGTTTTAGAGCTGTCTTTTCCTTTAGGGGTTTTTTTACAAGACAGTAGCTGGATGCAGTTAACATCTGCCCAAGATGAATATTTTTATTGAGACACCATCTCTAGCCATTACTCAACCAAGAGCCCAACCACAGCAGACCAACCAAGAGCCAACCAAGGCAAGTGTGAATAAAGTCAGAGTTAACTTTTCTTAGCCTCTGTCTAGAAAAGCCAATCATACAAAGCAGAAGAACATTGGGTAAGTTCTAATGGATTTCATTTTACTCGTAGCAGGTGGTCATGATCATTCTAAACCTGAACATATCTGAAATAGTTAAAAGAAGCTACTTCTAGAAGTAGTATTCTGCTACATTTCTCAGGTTTTGAAAAATACCTTAAGAAAAATTTTTTTGAACTAATGTAAATGTTGGTTAATAGTTAATTCTGATGAAAATTAGGAAACTCTTTCTGCTTGCAGAATACAAATTGCAATTAGAACTGCTTTTGAGTTTTAACTTTTTTTAGTGTAAAGTGAAGAAAGTGAAGAGTTATAAGGTTAAATGTGCCTAGTTACTCAATCTGCACAATTAATCAAAAATTTTTGAATCTTTACATTTGCTTGCAATCACTAGTATGTTGTGGTAGATACTCAATGTGACTGATGCTTAGAGAAAATGGACCTTTTTCCTGATTATTTCAAATAAGAAGATTAAAAATATTTAAAGAATGATTTATAATATGTTTATACTAATGCATAATCTTCATTTTTAAAGTCTAAATGTTTTGGTGCATTTTGGTGGTCAAGAAAAGTTTCTTGACCACTGATCAAAAAAAGTTTCTTGAAGCAGTAACATTATTAAGTTGGGAGGTTTCAATGCACAATTAAAAAAAAATTATTTTGGGCCACCCTAATATGCCCAAGTGCCACCCAAATCTACCACAGATGAAACAAACACTTTAACTACCAGTCAATTTTAACACACTCAATGTCAAATATATAGCAATAAAAAACTAAACTTTTGGGCAAAAAAAATAGCTAGAAATAAAGCAGAATCACTAGAAAAAAAACAGATTTACTTTTTCTGAGTTGTGGTTTAATAAGACATCTGACACGAAACTAGCAGGCTATCAGCATAATTGACCTTATTGTCATAGATGACCCAGATATTTAAAGAACTAGAAAAGGGTGACATGCACCCGCAGGCTAATCTGAATGTTTTATAATTGGAACATTCACAATGAACTTTTACAATGAAAATAACTTGAAAAATAAAGATATATCTAGAGTCGAGCAGACTATAAAACTATTTCAACACATAGTAAACTGGACTATAAAACTATTTCAACACGAATGCTAGCATAGTAAACTGGAACAACATATTCAAAAACTTTTCAATGAATGATAACTAGTTAATTTGCACATTCCATCAACTAAAAAACCATTTGATAAAAAGAAAGAACCGTGGAGCACGCTAGAGCTCAAGGAGGAGGTTAAAAATTAAAGAATACTCTGGAGCAAGTATCTTAAAGCAGGCAATAATTTTCAGGAAGCAATTAAAAAGAACATTAAGTTGCCAAGGTAGTCTAAAAAGCAACCAAAGAATATGAAAAAGAAACAGCTAAACAATTTAAATTAGATAAAACTCTTACATCAAAATGTTAGACATTAGCAAATGACAAACCAACAAATCCACTCAAGACTACACAATGCTTGATCAAGAGGAAACAGAAAAATACTTGAGAATAGATGCAGCAGCAGCAAGGGCCAAGGCTCTCTTAAAAAAGCTTTTAGAAGTTTTCTAAAAGCTTAAAACATATCTTGAGTTTGCTATTCAAGCTTGGTCTCCACATCTGCAATGAGATATATGTATGCTAGAGTGTATTCAACAAAGAGCAACAAAAACAGTCGCAGAAATCAAGAATAAGTCATATGAGGAAAGGTTCCATATCTTTGGACTCTTGAAGAAAGAAGAAATCAAGCTGGTTTGATTCAGCAATTAATAATCGTTCAAGGTATTGAAAAAACTTGTCATACCACAGGTGTATGTGCCATCAATATTGAATTACTGCCTACTAGGGCACAACTGATAATTAACTAAGCAAGTGGTAAAAAATTGCAAAGACTAGAAGCATTTGTTCACTAATCGCATGGTAAAGGCATGGAGCGTTCTTCTGTCAAATGCAGCCTTGCAGTCTCACTAAATGCCTTTAAAATCACATTGATGTGAAAGAAACAAAAAATGGAGAAAAAAAGTTCCTGGGGGCGCATTAAAATTTTATAAATTATACATATATATATATATATATATATATATATATATATATATATATATATATATATATATATATATATATGAAAGCAAAGAAACTGTGTTTCATTTTGAAATTGAAGATATTTTGGCTAATTTATTTAAAAATGAATATTTATAAATAATTTATAACTATATTTCTTTTGTATGATAAAAATAATACTATATGATTTCTTCATATTTTATTGTCACTATATCTTTATAGCTTAGAGATATTACGGTTAAATTTATTTAATTTAATTTACAAAGCACAAGAAAAATGAATTAACTAAAGAAGCGCAATAAAAAATGTTATATTTACTCAAATTGATCTTGCAAATTGCTACGTTCATTGCAAAACTTTTTATGTAAACATCAAGATGCTTGAATAAATGTGATGGTTGTGAAGGTTGTTTTTCTGCCATTTTTTGAGTTGCTTTTGGTTTGATTTTATCTGGAATAAACTTATCAAAAATCCGATTCTACTGATAAAACTAGATATTAAAAGAATAAAGTTTGAATAAAAATTGAGAAACAAAACAAAAACATAATAACAAAAATTCACTAAGTAGAGCGCACACTAATAACTCTGAGCGAAAGATAAAAAACTGCAGAGTAACTTCGATAAACTATTATCTCAACTTTACAAGTATCCAACTATTCATAGTTTAACTACCAAAGTCTTTTTAAATGATTTGTCACTCTCCTACTTGTTAATAATTGTAAAATGTAGAAATTTTTATATACGATGACATTTTCATTTACATAGAAGAAGAAAAATGAATGAACATAATAAAATAATAAATAAGAAGAGAAATGAATGAACATAATAAAATAATTAAGATCATTCGTTTTTATAAAACAACTATTTGATGTATAACAGTTTTTTATATATTGTTGTTTTATTAGTATGATTTATTATATTTTAACTTTTGAATGTTGTTTTTTATTTATTATTTGATTAATTACTAAAATATTAAATAAAAATTATATTTACAAAAAAATTTTTTTTTTTAGCAAGTTGTTTTTTCTTTTTTTTATTGCTAAAAAAACGTTTATTTTTATAATTAAAATTTTTACTATACCTGGCATGAAGAATCAACAAAATAAACTTTCAGAATAAAATTTTTTTTTATCAAGATGTATAATCGTGCAAGATTATCTAGGCAGGCAACCCGTGTAACCCGCAAAGTCGGGTTTAGCCGGGCTATTTATCGGTTATTTAGCTGCCGAAGCCTATATATATATATATATATATATATATAATATATATATATATATATATATATATATACACACACACACTCACACACAACCCTCAGAATTAGGGTAACTGATGACCTTAAAGTGTTTGAGTTTGGCTAAAAACTGCAGACATCGTTCTATGTTTGACGGTAAACCCTTTGTGTCAAATTTTTTTTTGCCAACCTAATGCCGACCTCAGTTTGAGGTCAGCATTTTTTCTAATTTCAAGTATTATATATATATATATATATATATATATATATATATATATATATATATATATATATATATATATATATATATATATATATATATATATATATATATATATATATATGGGTCATTCCGTGCCAAGTGGTGCAAATTTTAACGAGGTCCCTCATAGACCATCTCAAATTTTATTGAAATTTTTTGATTTTGTACATATATATGTTAAAAGCATGTTTTGAAAATTTTAGATCAATATCTAATATGGTTCTTGAGAAAACGCTATTTAAGTAGTGGGCTATTTTGCATAAAATTTCACTCTACAAAAAAAGAGTTTTTTTTCATCATTTTTAACAGCCAATAACTTTTGAACAATTTAGTTTTATACTTCAGTTATTATAAGATAGCAAGTGTGCTGTAAATACTTTGGAAAAAGAAAAAAATTTCAATTCTGGCATCTTAACTTTTTCCATAATGGCGGGCTAAAGTTGAGATTTTTGTTTTTAAAATAGTTTTTTTTGTGATTTTAATGATCTTAATCTTGAAAACTAATTAAAAGATTAATAAAAATCAAGTTGCCTGCTGATCTACATGTGGTGGATAAACATTTAAAAAA